TTAGCGCTGCTGCAAGTAATATACCAGTCATCATCAGTCACTATTTTTTTCAGAAATGTGTGGATTTTGTTGTGATTCAGCAGGGAATCTCTGATGTAAGTTCGGTCCGTGAGATTTTTTCTCGTTAACTCATATTGCACTCGTACATCGAGCTTCTTTGTGTATGCAGCCGTTTTCCTGTGGCTCGAAACTCTCTTTTCTGCAATGCTTAGTACATGGGAAATCGAAACTATGTTCGCATGATGGTCAGATGCGACGGTTTCCATTATTTAATTCACAGTTTTGGCAAATTTGCCTTCCAAATTAAAAATGCCACTAAAATTTTAGTTCTTAAAGAATACAAATATTTTTAGGTAATAAATTATAATTATATTTTTGGTGCTTTGTACCCGCTGAAGCGATCCTCCCATTTGTGGTGTGCGTCCTGATGTTTTTCCAATTCCAATTTTTTAATGCAATCAAGCAATGAATTCGTAAATAATTATTCTTTTTTTTAACTGTCTCATTCGAGCCCTTTGACCTCACTTTTTTTTGTAAATTCGCATTCGCTGTCGCCTTTTTAATAGAATAAAATATATAAAGACATCTGTTTGAAAATTTTTATTATAAAATTTGCGCAATAATTTTTTATTTTTTTCTAATATTTCCTCATATAATTTATTTTTTCTACCTAAATCATTAAATATATTTACAAGCACCTAATCCATTTAAGCATAATTCGCAACAGTAAATAGTAGCAAAGCGCACAATTAGCACGAAAAATACACACAATATTCCATAATTACAGCTTTTTTTAAGAAAAAAGGCACACAGTGACAGTGAACGCGCACACACACACACACACACACGAAATTGTACGCAAATTAGTAAAAGTACACACGCACACACAGAGAAAGAAACTTGCAGAGAAAAAATAACAAGCAAATGCAAACTCTTTACAAACCAATTTGCTGCTAAAAAAAAACAAACAGCCGCACCGCACCAGCAGAGCGTCGAAAAAGTTAACTTTCTTCTGATATTTCTTTAATGAGTGGCATAGAAAAAGTCGCGCCTTTTGGGTGCCTTGTGGCGCCGCTACCAAAAATCTGAAAATACTCGTTAAATGAATGAGCGTAAATTAGAAGACAAATGCTATGAAAAATTGATGTCAAGTGTTGGCTTTCGAAAGCTGTTGGGCGTAAGAGTTGGAGTTGACTTTTTTCTTCACATAAATAATTATGAATTTTTTTCTGCTGAACTTTGGGTGGAAGCAAATCGCTACTTTGTCTAGTAGCAATTAGTGACAAAATGGGTAAATATGGAGTGTTTGTAAAGGCGCTTAGATGTGGTATATAAATAGATATAAGCTAGGCGTTGTTTAACCAAAAATAAAAAATAAAATAAATACCAAAAATAATACGTAAAATTTGAAACAAAAATTCATTTCTTTAAGAGCACTTATTCTACTGCTTTTCCCAACTCCACCTTGTTTCCAAAATAAAAGAAAAACATTTACACTTCTTTTAAATGTTGCAAAAAATGTTTCTCAAAACATTTATGGCGTGTTCAAAGTCTACATCCTAACTGCCAATAGCATTAAATATTTTATATTTTTACTTCTGCTGCTTACAAAGGATTATCATTGGGTTGGAAACGACACGCACGCACGTATGGTGTGCAGCCAAGAGGCGAACTTTTTGTCTTCTGAAGAATTATTTTTGCTTTATAATTTTTTATTTGTTTTAGACATATGTACAATATAAACATGTGAGAAAGTACTAAAAAAAATCTTCTGTTTTACAACGAATTTCTTATTTCTTTCGGAAAATTCTCTTCTTCTTTTCTTTTTGAAATATTTTTAGTTATTTATTTTTTAAACCTTTGGGCATTCTTGAGCACATTCTGTAATCTGTAGTTTGGTTTGTATGCATCTTTATAAGTTATCATGTGTTTTAACCATTTAGTGGTATCGGGCCGCCATGGCGTATGAGTGACTATAATTATATTTCAGGCGTTTTTTTTTTTAAGATCTTTCGGTTTAGATTTTCAAAGAAGTCATAAAAAAATCAGAAATTTATTTGAAATTATTTCAGTCGAATGAATGAACGTCATAATTTACATTTCAAATTTTTTTTTATAAAAATATTGGCCTGGGCTGCGCCGCAAATGGTCCATACGACGGGAGTAACTTTATTATACTCTCTCCAACATATTGGTTGAGATATCATGAATAAATTTCTCTGCTGCTTCAAGGATATGGGTATAGACGTATATAGTTGATAAAAAACAGTCTAGAGGCGTTAACTCATAGGATCTAGGTGGTGTCTTGACCGACTGCAAACATGGTATAAGGAATTACGTTCCTCTTCTAAGCACTTAACTTCACTGAGCACAAATTTCCAATTAAAAGTAAGTAAATTTTCATCTAAATTCAGGTTATGTGACTTTAATGCTTCTACCAGCTGTTCTTCAAAAAGACTCATAACTAATTCACGGTAATCAACAACACAGTTTCTTCTATCTGCTCTCTACGCATGCGAGTTGGTGGCTTCAAATAATGAAAAGATTTTACTCATAAAAGGTAGCAGATTGTAGGCAAAAAGCTTTTGTTGTTGGCCGTGAAAAATTTTTGGCAGAGCTTCCCTATCCATTTTTGTGGTGTGCAGCTTAATGGAGATATCAATAGCCATTTCCGAACGGCTGATGGAGTTTTATGATAAGCTTTTTTATTTCATGCCTGAAATACACTCGGAGGACTTGACATTCCTTATATAAATAAATTTTCTACAATTTTCGGACGCTGATCGGACGAGGAGTTGTAACCTGACCTTCTTTGTAGCAGTACGGACTGCTAGTTACTTCCTGCTAGTCAGTAATAGATTACGTTGCGCCGATCTAGATTCTCTGATTCCGCTCGTGAACCACTTATTCTGTTGGTCATCTATGCTCCCAGTTGTTGTGAACAATGATAACACTATCTGCTAAGGTGACACTGTCAGCTTTATACCTTGCGATACCTGTGTCGTAGACACGTAAGGAAGGAAGTAAAAGACTTCGTGAACTCTATTCAGAATGGCGCAACAGCCTGCGATGTGTAGCTAACAGACCCTGGACGTTATTCACAGAATATCTATCAACACTTTCCTTAACTATCCTAGGTGATAGCAGGATTGAAATGAATAATGTTAACAATTTCCTTGGACCACTTTTTGCGTGTTCGTGAATTTAGCAAAGAAAAAGTTTTGTTGAGTTGGATTTTTTGCATTCAAAAATTGTGAATCTTTTAAAATGATTCATATTCAAACCCTTACTTTATTTCGTTAACAATTTTCCTATTTCAAATAAAAAAATAAAAAAAATTTTAGGCCAAACACATTTCACACTCATCTTCATCATTAATCTCGATTAGCTTTAATTGCATAATACCGTTAAATGCGTATTGAAAGGCCATTTCAAGCGATTTGCTTCGCATTACTATTCTTGCCGCTTACTTCCTTTTGACATACATACATACGAGTATATCAAACATACAAACATATAACTTGCCAAGTACATACATATACGAAATGCGTAAACGACTTTTAGGGGCTGACAGGTTGGCTTAGTGAGTCATTGTGGCCTACACTCGGCACTCTTGTTAACTGCTAACTGTTGTTATTACTGTTTGTATTGTTGCTTTCTCTTCACTTTATGTTTGCACTAGTTTACGAACTTTATTCACTGCTTTTTGTGTTTTATTTCGTTTTTGATGTGTTTATTCTACATTCTTTGCGTAGCGCATTTACACAACTTTTTCCATTCACCGTTTATATTACTATTTGTCTGTGGTCGTTTTCGCACATTTATCACAATAATTTATCAAATTATGTTCAAAGCAAATGGAACCGAAGAGTTGCACTTTTTTCGATGATTTCGCTTTCTACTGTATTTGCTCCCACTATGATTTATTTACTTTGAGGCGCCTTTTAAGTGCGAATTTGATAAATTATGGTCCTATGTGAAATTTGAAGTGTGCAAGGTTTTTAATTCAATAAAGATTTATTAACAATAAATGAATTTTTAAAAAATTAAATAGTAAATTTTTAGTTTTTTTTGAAAAATTTTATGAAGGTTTTAATGTTCAAAAATAAATTTAAAGGACATAAAAGTAGTCTTATTTCTGGGTAGACAGTTACAACTGCAAGACTATTGCCAATACCTACTCTGGTGTATTCATCATAAAACCTAGAATATGAGTGACACTTATGCGAATTGCGGCGGTAACTGACCCATGTGGAGCCTAGGGTGGTAGCTATTAGAGAGGCAGGGAGCTAGTGGGGTCAAACTCGTCATATTTAAAGAGGTCAATAGAACAGAAAAATGATGTGACCCAAAATCCACTATGATTTGTGCTGCCCCTGTCAAGATCATTGTTCTTGATGCTTTTAGCGCCAGAATGGGTAAGCAAACGGTAAGCAAACGCTCTGAGGCTGATCTTCTTCGTCGGAGTCCCTCATTCCTCCAGCCCTTCAGAATTCCTTCTATGAAGGAGTCTCAATAGTAACTACCTACGGGCAATAAAGGACTGTCATTTGGCAAACAGTTCTGGATACCGGAGACCGCTCCAGGCTCGCAGTGATCATTCTGAATTTCTGCAGGTGATGGTTGACTTATGAGCCAAAGGTCTCTGGAATCACATTGAGTGTCATTTCTATAAAAATGCGGACCATTGAATATTTCCATGCCAGTGGAGTATGGCTAAATTTAGGACAGACCTTAAAGATTATTTGAGCCTGCATAAGGTAAGCTCCCATTTTTCTTACGTATGCAGGGATAATATTGGCTGTGTAAATAAGGTTTCTAAAATTTTATATCAATGTTTTAATTAAAAACTGCTTTAAAAGATTTTTGAAAATTGTTATTCTGAGAGATAAAATGTTCTGTAACATTTAAAATTAATAAAAAAATAAAGGATGTATGTAGATTCTGTGATTATTTAGAGATATATTTTTTAACAATTTTTTTTTTTTTGGCTCTTGCAGATCTTTGACATAATGTGGAGTGATCCGCAAGTGGGTGAAGGCTGTAAGCCAAATGCTCTACGTGGGGCTGGTACCTATTTTGGACCTGATGTGACCAAAGAATTCCTAGCAAAGTATAAATTAAAATTCTTGGTGCGTTCGCATGAGTGCAAACCAGATGGACATGAGTTTACACATAATGGGCAGGTAGGATACAAGAGAAGAAAGTCATTGAACACGTATTTAACCATATTGGGTGTGTGTCTGCACTAAAGCATAAAAATAGCAACCAATTGTAGTTTTCTTCTCAAGTGGTTATATTAATTTGGTGTGCGACTTCGCTAAAATTAAAAATGTCAGCCTATAAAGTTCATATAAATTTTAGCAAGTTTTCTTATATTTGATTATGTTTTTCAGGTTATCACAATTTTCTCGGCGTCCAATTACTACGCGGTCGGTTCGAATAAGGGTGCCTACTTGAAATTCGGCCCCCAACTGGATACACAATTTGTGCAATATATATCGGCGGCATCGAAAACCTCTAAACTATCAATCCAACAACGTGTTAGCATTATTGAAAGTTCAGCATTACGTGAATTGGGTGCGCGATTGCGTGCGCGGCGTGATGTACTTGAAGCTGAATTTGCAAAATTGGATCCCAAGCAAACGGGTATGCTGGAAGCTCATATTGAAAAATGTTAAATATGTATATATATTTATGTAAGTCGCTTTCTTCCAGGCGCAGTGACAGTGACCCAGTGGTCGGATACGATGGAGCGCGTGACGCAAATGTCTTTGCCATGGCGTTTAATGCGCAGCCGATTGGCACCACAATTCACACAAGCCGAGCCCAATCTTGTAAACTATCTGATGACTTTGGAGTTGCTCGATACGGATGTTATTGTAAGTGAATGCAGTCAGTAAGAAAACTGGTTTGAGTTGAGCTCAGGAATATATAAGTATGTTAAACTTTAAAATTGTGGAGTATGATTTTTGGATAAATCATCAGGTGTAGGATTCTTGCCTTCTTAGCGAAAAATTAATAGATTTTTTTTGGAAATAATTTTGATTCTCAATATGTGATTCATGTCATTCACAACTCGACATCAACTGGAGAACAAAGAATTTCTCAAGCCTGTAAAGTTCTTTACGGTTTATTTTAATATTTCTACTAAATTAACAGGTACAAGAAGCTGAAGCCTCGACGAGCGTCACAGATGCTCTCTACAAGAATAAGAGTAGCTTGGAGGCAATATTCCACATAATCGACAAAGATAATTCAGGTTAGTTTCGCATTGGAAAAATATGTGCATATAAATATATTTTGTTTAAATTTAATAATATTTTATTCTTCATACTTTGAACAGGTCAAATTTCCTTGGAAGAATTCGGCGAAGCCATAGATTTGTTACGACAGTATATGCCTTCGGCTGGCACGAAAGCCGAGCTATTGCATATGTGTCAGATGATGGATATCAACAAGGATGGTTTTGTCGATTTAAACGAGTTCCTGGAGGCTTTCCGTCTGTGCGATCAGGCGCGTAAGCATACACAAACATCACGATCGAAGTCATCAAGACGTAAGTAAACACAAATTGAGTTATCGATTGCAGCGGAAGACAGGAGGGACTTGGTGGATTCCCATATGATGAAAGAGAAAAAGTTTAAATTTAAGCATATTTTAGAGTGTAGCGTCATTAGCTACTTATAATGAAGGTGGACATACCGGACATTGACGTTTATATTGACAGAAACCGCTCAAGATTGTCTAGTCAAGCTTATCGCTGATTTCTAATCTATTGAATTAAGTTAAGCTCTCTACAGAACCATTAGTCAATGCCTCCCAAGTCGTAAAGCCCTTACGGGGCACAAAATAAAATAAAAGTTTTTCGTTATTTCGACCGTAAAACTTCCTTAAAGTGATTTGCGGTAAATTTTTCTAAAGATGTAGTCTTATGCTAAGTCTTTCCGCTATTAAGAACTGTCTCCCTGCTGAACTATTGGAGTTAAATCTCTTTCTATCACTGTTATGCGTTGCTGCGATAGTTTCAGTTGGTTGAGAAGATATTTATATTCCTGATATCCCACACCGTTCAGAGGCCAGAAGTATAAACTTAGCAGTATAAAATAAAACCAAATAAAATAATATTAAATAAAATTAAATTAATTTTAATAAAAAAATTAAATAAAGTAAAAATTATTTTATATAATTTGTGTTTTTAATTTACAGAATCCAGCACGCTTGTTGCGGAACTCGCTGAACACCTCTCGATACAGAAGCTCACGGAAGTGGAATCCGATATCGATCCTAGGGATCATGTGTCGGTGGTACTCAGTGAAAAACCCAAAATAAAGAACTAAATTTGTTATAGTAATAAGATTCACTATTAGTGAAATAACTGCAACAATTACAGAAAATTAATTCGCAGTTTTAACATAAAGAATTAGCGCGCATGATAAATATATTTAAATATAATATTATTTTATTCTAATGTGTTTTATAAGTTTCTTATTATTTTTTGAAAATTTTAATTCATATGTTGTTCCTATTATTGTGCATGATCGCATATTTAATTTCTCTTCTACGAGTATGCGTGATATATAAAACTGTTCTTAATTAATATATCATGCGATATTTTTTTGCCAGCGTATAATATGTTCATAATTATGTGGAAGGTTTCTTACTTAAGTGTTGTTATTAAATATTTTTAATGTATGCTATTTCACTAAATGAACTATATAAATTTCTACTCCGTCCAAGCGCTATTTGTAACTAATTTTTAACAATTTTTTCCTTTGCAAAAAAAATAAAAAAATATAAAAAATCCATGAAATGTCAGTGTAAGTATTTTATTGCTGGCAAAAAAAAAAAACATATGTTACGCAACTAATGTTCATTTTCAAATGCCAGAACTTTAGTAACTTCATTGAAAAATTAATATTTTTTAAATAAAATAATGTTTCGAGAAACTTAGTTTTACACAAAAAAGGAAAATTAAAAAAAAAAATTGAATAAAATTAAAAAATTAAATAATAAATGTTATCAAGCACATTGAAAGAAATATTTTTGCACCCAAGCCCAAACAAACATATATATTTTCATCAACTTCTAAGAGTTAAAAAAAAAACCTATATATATATACAATTAGTTATAGGTATCTTATGAAATTAAGTATTCTTAAAAAAAAAAATAAAAACATAAAATGTAATTGAAATACAAGTTCGAAGCCCAGAAAAGCTTTAAATGAAATATAGCGGCTTCTTATTCACCATAACCTACAACAAGCCTGCTTCAGGCCACTAAACGAAATATGTGTAAGCCCACGAAACAATTTAAATAATTATGTGCTATCTATCTAAGCAATTAAAATTAGTACTTATGTTTCTTCTTTCCAAACATTTTTTCAAAAGTGAGGAGCAAAGAAGTAAAGTAAAAAAATAAATTAAATAATTTATTAAAAAAAAATTTTAAATAATTTATTCTAAAAATACTCTTATATATTCGAAGAAAATTGAATTGTTAAATAAATCTTAATTAAGAATACGAAATTAAATTAATACAAGAATAAAAAAAATATTTTTACGCAAATTTATAAAGCCATTTAAATATTATGAGAGCTACTTGTATATTTGTATGTATTTTCGGCACCCTCTTTTGATTAGTATAAACTTTTGGCATTCATATAACAAACCAATTCACCTTTTATAAAGCAAAAACCAAAAATCAAAGAACTTAAGCATTTACATAAGGCTAAAAAATATTTTAATAGTTAAATTCTATATTAATATTTACATAAATTTATTTTTAAGTGAAAGTATAAAATGTATGTTAAATGATATATATATATATATGTATATTTAAGAGTTGGGGTGATAGCTAGAAATCTGTAGCTTGAAATGGTAAGAAGGCTTTAATAAAACAAAAATATATATACTGACACTTCAAGAGCGATGAGAAGGAAATTAACTAGCAAAAGAACAAAATAAAATATAATGTAACTGGAGGAAATCAACAAAAAAAAAAAAAAAGAAAAAAATGAACGCATCACAAAATTGAAAAAAGAAACAAATTATATGAAAAAAAAACTATAATACAATAATTTTAGAAATATATATTATAATAATAAATAAATATATTAAATAAATTTTATGAAAACTTAACAGTTAAATTAATTGATTAAACAATTATCAGAAATTATGTCAATACTTAATTTTAATTTATGAAAGCAAAAAAAAATTAAAATGCAAAATAGTAAATATGAGTTAATCAAAAAGATATATGTAAAACATACCAAAACTATTAGTATAAAAGTATGTATACATCTTGCTATAAATATAATTCAAACAGCAAAATGGAACTTCGAAACACAAACTTTTAATATATAAGGCTAAAGGAAACGACATTCCCTAAAATATGTGTAAAAGATACATAATGAATACAATACAAAAAAAAAGAATTGAAGAAAATTAAAATAAAAAATTTATGTAATTAATATAATTAAATTACGACTAAGTATTTATGTATCCCAAACCAATATTAAACAAATAAATCCTATATAGCTTATTATATCAAAATTTATTTACATTAGTTAAACAAAGTATATGAATTAAATTAAAAAAGTTTTCAATTAAATAAATATTTGGTAAAACTCTTTTGTACATATTTTATTTCGTTATTTTATTTTCAATTTGTGATATTTTGTTTAATATAATTCTACTTTAATATAATTGATTTTTTTTTTCAGTGAAGATAACTTTTTTTAAACATCTTTATATATTCATATACAGTTTTTATTCATATATTTTTTTGTAAAATTATTTTAATTTATTTTATTTTTTGTTCATTTAATATTTTTTACATTTTATTTTATTTTAATGTTATTTTATTTGTTTTCTTTTCTTAAATTTTAATTCACAATATTTAACAAGTCTATATTTAATATGTTTTTCGCTTTTTTATTTTGTATTTAAATTTAACTGTTAAAAAATGAAGTGAACCAAAAAATGACTGCAACTTATTAATTATAATTATTAATAAATTTTAATAAATTTTATTTATTTATTTTCATTTAATTTCAATTTTTCATTTTTTAAATTAATTTTTTTAAATTGTATTTCTTAAAATATATTACTAAAATTGGAAATGTCAACCCCTCCGAGCGATGTTCTCAGACATGAAATAAAGCTCGTCATAAAAACCCATCCGGCTTAGTATAATCTAAAGGTGCCTCCATTTGTTGGAAAAACCGCAAGACGCATAAATTGGAGGAAGAGCTCGCCAATAATCGCTTCAGCGGTCATAAAGCGCCAATTATATATATAAATATATAAAAAAATAATTTTACGAAAATTAATTCACTTTATTTAAATTTTTGGCTTAGGATGTTTTATTTTATTTCAATTCATTTTGTGATATGTTAATTTTCTTGTTATTTCATACTTAACTGTTTTTTTTTAATTTTTGAAAATTTTTTAATTATATTTGATTTAGTTTTTTTAAATTTTTTTGTTATTTTACTTATTCTGTTGTATTTCATTTTAGTTTATTTCATTTTATTTGATTTTTTTAATTAATGTTATTTAATTTTCTTGTTATTTTTAATACTTCTTTTCTTTGTGTTATTTATTCATCTATATTTAATATCATTTTAATTTAATATGTTTTAATTTTTTGGTTTGTTTATCTTTACATAAATTAATTTCGTTAATTTTTATATAGTTTATTTTATTTAGTTTTATTTTATTGTATTTTTTTTTATTTTCTTATTTATTTTATTATTATTATATATCCCGCAAATTAGTTTTAACGTTCATATATTTATAAAAAAATTAAACAAAATATATCTCAAATGACACCCTTTCGTATATCTCACCGCCTTGAAACTTTCCAACTTAAACACCACAACTTCCTGTTAATCTATAGTTAATAAGTTTTGTGAAATATGAATAGAAAAATAAATAAATCAAATGTTTTAAGAAACTTAATAAAAAGCACTTTATTTTATTTTTAACGAAAATTCATTCCACATGGTTCGTCGGAGAAAAGTGAGTATGAAAAGACAAGTTTGCCAATATTCAGCGACTTCACTGTATGTACTTTTTATATATTTTCCGTCTGGTCCAAGCAAGCTATGTTTCAAATCATATTTTCACTTAACGAAGCACAGACACCCACCACTAAGTACTAAAAAGCTTTAATGGCATTTTGTGCAAAAATTCGTGTGCGCTTACGTAGCTTTGTTCGGGTAATAGCAAAAATAAAATCTTACCGAATTATGTCAAAGCTTATTCTTATATTGTAGTATACTTGGGTGCTTTTGGAAGCTTAGGCAAAGAAAAGAAAACAGTATTTCGATTTATTTCATCAATAAATATTTATTTACTTTTCATACTTTGGTATCATAATTATACATTAGGTTAATTTTTTTATTTTTTTTTTTCATTTTTAATATTATTTTTGTTTTTGGTTTCTTTTTGGTATGCATATAGTATATGTAAGTTTCCAAATTATTTACAATTCTTATGCTCTACTAAATATTGGCATATTTAGTAAGTACTAAAAGACGTCACCATAAGCTTAAATGCTAAAAATAAATAGAGTTTTTTTTTTATATGTAAGTACATATATATTATTTAACTTAGCTGTTTTTTTTTTAAGATAAAACAACAAACTATACGCTAAAACATCACTAATAGTTTGCATGTGTATGTATATGTATGCGTAATATTTATAAGATTTTTATATTTTTTGTTTTCTTTTATTTTCAGATATTTGTTAATATATTTTTTCCAATTAAATAAATTATTTTCAATGCAAAGAATTTTAAACAAAATTGACTAGAACGGTTTTTTTTTATTCAATAAATAAACTAAAAATCGCAAGGCCGCAAATTTTTTTTGTAAAAATTTATTTAAAAAAAGCATATTAAAACAAAAAAAAATATTCAAAAATAAATGAAACACAAATAAATTTCAATTTTCAATAATTACTGTTACTGTACTTCTAACTGTTCATTTATTTATTAAATTCATTTCATTTACCAATCAATTAAATTAATATATTTAAAACTTTTAAATTAAATCAAATTTTTGCTAATTTTGGAACACGTTTTTTTAAATTCCTTTTGAAATTTTATTTTTAATTATTTTTTTTATTGTTTTTTTTACATAAATTTTGATTTTCATAATTTTTTATTCGCTTATTTTGAGTATCATTTATTAAAATTATTTATTATTTTGTTACCTTTTCCTTTATGTTCTCCTTACTTTCACGCTCTTAGGAAAGCTAGTTATTTCTGTTTCTCTTTATCTCTTACTTAAACTATTTTTATGACCATTTTTCATAGTTTTTCTTAACATTTCACCTTTAAATTAGTTTCTTTTTTCATATTTGTTTTGCTGATATAGTCTTCTTTTGTTTTTGTAAAGGTCTACACCTAAGAAGTGCATAATGATCAATTAATTTCTTTCGTTAAATAGATTCGTAGAGGGCAAATAGGTACGAAGTTGAGTGAATATGCAAGTTTTAACAGATTTGTTAATGATAATGGTATTTTTTGTAAGTTTTTTTTTTAAAGAAATATAGCAGGAAAGTTTTATAGCATTGTGAAGTGGAGACATTATTTAAAAATAATTAATAATAACATAAAATAATGTAATAATTGGGCAATGATGTTAACATGAGCTTATCTACTTTTTTGACACTCAATACAACCCTGTTTGCAATCAGCTGTTGTTTGTTTAACTTCTAGCACGCGCTTACACTTTTCGGTACATAATTCAAGAGTGGAATAATTGCTTCAAAATTAAATTATTTGATATTTCAAGTGTTGTTGTGTATGTTTAAAAACATAAAAAGTTATTGAAATATAATTTGTGTAACTCGAAACGAGATGAATGTGAATGTTGTAATGTAGTGTATTGGATACATAAATTTTTCAAATTTCTTAGTTTTGGGTGCTGGTCGAATGCGTGGCGAAGGCATACTCCCGTGTCCACAATTAAGCTGCTGTGGATATGCCATTTATGCCGAAGTTGTGAAGGCAAATGTGGCTGTAAAACAAATAAGTAGTAGTCACAACTACTTGAAGCGTGAGATAACTTCGTCCATCTAGGACACGTCATCATGTGCGAGAAGAGACTTCATAAAGGTTTTTACTGACTGAATGGTATTTGAAGCCTGTCGGTATGTAGTTTGATTTCACTTGCTGATGTTTCGACAAATATCTACTCTGCAGGTAACTTTTCAGCAGACTCCTTAATTTTGACCATAGATTTTTTTCTGTGCAAACTTCAGAAAGCAACCCGTCACGGTCCTCAGAACGGCGTTTAGCTGCTTCAACTGCGTCTGATTAGTTCCGGCAACCAAATTAATGCAGCATAATTACTAAAAGTCCGATTGCCATATAAACTGGGAGTAATGTTTTTTTTTTGGATCAGGTCAGCAGGTAATAACACTGGTCTTGAAAGCTTGTAAAGACGTTAACAAGTGTAGGAAACTCTGAGAGAGTGGGCAATCTATGAGTGGCATGCATTCGTTTGACAGACGCTATGTTTAGTTATGGCACAGACACGCTGCGGGACCTTCAATCAGCAACGGACAGAGGACCAGAAATAGCACAGTGATCAGCAATATTCTTCATAATATGGACGCAATAAAGAGAATAACAGTAAAGCTTGGTCGTATGTGGAGTACCTGGTAACACTAAGGATGTAATATCATCTAACTGAGACTCCTTGGGTCAACTAGTTCAGCCCAACCTGACCTGGCTCGAGGAGAGGAAAAATCTTCTTAGGACTAAGCAATTAATTAATGATTACGCTCCACTTCACCGAAAAGGATTTATGTATATCTCAATAAATTGGCAGACATTTAATAACTACTAATTTTATATATGTATATATGTATGTATGATAACATTAAATGTAATTTGTTTGTTTGCTTAAGAAAACATCTTTGTCTCAAGGAATTCAAAATTAACACACACACGTACATATACGTTTATGCATGTATTTTTCCTTCTTTTCTCTGTTTTTACTCCTAAAGGACTATGATTTAATAAATACTGTTATCGTTATATATTTACATGGGCGATAAACAAAACAAATGCCTATAATTAATAATAATTATTATTGATTATAATCAATTCATGGAACCATAGCCAGCTAATGTTAGCCTTCTTCTTCTCCTTTCTTCTCCACCTTCTTCTTCTTCTTCTTACACATACGAATTTTTATTAATCTTACCACTTATGTTTGCATGTACGTATGTATGTATGCATGAGTATGTAGAGAGAGTTCAAATCATAACGAGCTCAGCTCTGCGACGCTTATGCGCCACCACAAAATAATTCCAATTTCTTATTACTCATACATTCGTTTCGATGCGATACGACGAGCTTGGCTCTTTGACTAGACCCCGTGTCTCCAATATTGCACAATCAGCGCTGATACGCTTCAATTTGGCCGCCACGCCTGAGGATGCGGACGTATTTGAGGAGAGGTGAGTGTGCGCGGAGCGTGGTTCGACTACAGACACATACTCCTGGCACTTCACCACCGACTCATGCTTGGGATGTTGCTTGGACTGTTGCTTGGACACATCATGATCACTTTCGCTTTCATCCGCAAATTGTATATCATCTAAGCTGAGTAAGCCGGAGCCCAACTCGGCCGAAGTTTTCTTCTCCACACGCGTTTCTTTCTCCACATAGGAGCCCGTCATTGACTCGGTCATCGAGTCGGTAATTGAGTTGACCAAAGTGTGTGGTATTTCCGGTGAGCTGCGTGGTGTGGCACACGCTGATTCGGTATCCTCTGCGGTGGCTAAGGTTGGCGGCGAGCAGCATATGTTGCGTGCCGATTTGGTGCTGCTCATCTGTTGCAGCGGTATCATGACGTCGCGACCACCGCTAACGCTACCACTGCGCAGTGAGGAGGTGGAGCGCGAATGCTGTTTGCCGTGCCGACGCTGTTTGCGTGAGAAATATGGCGTGGGTTGCTTGCTGCTCGCTGTGCTCGATATGTTTTGCTGTAGCAAAGTATTTTTCAAATTCATTTCTGCTGTGGGCGAGGTGGCCTTCGAATGCAGATGACTGCCTAGTGGTGAGAGTTCATCCGAAGAGGGTGTTGTATTGCTGGTATTGGTAGTATTTGTGCTCGACTCTGTATTGCTACGCGCGCTCAAGTAGTGACCGTAACGCGGCATTTTAATCTCTTCATATAGGGGCTCAGTCTCGTCCGGTTCTGGCATAGGCTCGGGCGTTTTATCGTCCTCATCGCGCATATCGGTTATAACCTCAAGCGGTGGCACCCATATGAGTTGCGCCGGGTCCATACCCAAGTAGGAACCCGGTGCGGCGCCTGCATTTATCACATTGTAATCATAGTAATCGAGCTCGAGTTCCTCCTGATTGCCTAACGAAAATTCGGAGCCGGGTCGTGCAAGTAACCGTTTACGATTCTGCTTTTCTTTACTCTCCTTCGGATTGGTGGTGCGTATGGTCGCGGTGCTGACAACGCTCGTAGCGGGTGAGTAGCAGCCCTGGAAAGTAGGAAGAGAAAATAATATAATTTAGCATTTTGGATGAAGTTTTTTATGACAACTTGGGCATGTATGTGTGACCTGATTCTGTGTAAACTCACATTTGTTAGTGAAGCGCTCGCACAACGTTGCACATATTCGCGCAACGATGAACGCAGCGAGTCGCGATCGCTTTGCGCTGACTCATCCAAACGTTGTGTGGAGCTCGGCATCAGCGTACCGGACGGTCCGTATCGATTGAAGCGGTTCGAGTGTATAATCGGCGGACTGGCGCAAATTGAGCTCATGCCCGATGAAATAATCGATTCTGTGTCTTTACCGCTATCTTTACGTGTGAGTGTGCCGCTGCAAATGCCACTCGTTTCGCCGGCGCCCGTGGTTGAGCCCAAAGCCTCATCCAGCGAAGGTGAACGACTGATACCACTTACCGACTCCGGCGATTGTGAGATTTCATTGCGTAGAGTAACAACCGAGGTGTTGCTGCCGCGCTCTTCATCGCTACAGGAGAGACCGAAAGAAAGAGATATTTTCAGCAAATTAAGTGACAAGTGCGATAAGAGTTTGTACGAAGTTTTTACAATTTGACGCCTTTATGCACCGTTAGTGCCACAGTACACACACTTTCACACAAGTACTTACCACTTCACCATGCGTGTTGTTGTTTGTGCATCCTCCTCTATTTCTTCGCTCTCATCGGGGTCGTTGAATTCCGTTTCGCGTGCCAAATTCTCCGCATCGACACTCTCCCGTAGTATGGAGTGACGTAACTGATGCTTCGGACGCATCTTAACCAAATAGATGACCTCCGATAACAGTGTAGTAGTCGAAATGGCGCGCGATGGCGGTCCTTGCAGTGAGCTCATGGAAGCGCGCGGTGTATGCAGGCGAGAGCCCTCATCACGTCGCCGCGCCACTGCCAAATGGTACTTGCGATAACGTATAACATATTGTGCGCCTAAAAGTATGCGTTGGTGAAGAGCGCGCAAAAAAGAAATTGAAATTGTTAAAAGGAAAAAGGCAAATTGCGATAAAAACTTCCAAAATTTTTTGCTTCTTTTTTTAGCACCACAAAAAGCTTAGTAGCTTCGCCAACCATGCGGCACGGCAGCCAATGCCGTTCAGGAAGCAGCCTTTCCGCTTTGGAATTTACAAACTGCTTTAAGTTAAATCTTACAGCCTTAGTTTGCTATCTTTTGCAAATATATTTAGTATGAGTTTACACATATATATCTATGTGTAGGAGTTTTGAAAATGATTTGAAAGCCACTAATAGCTACTAAAGCCATTCGAGCATTAACCGAAATCCTGCGAAACCAAATCAAGTTGTTGTAATAATCTGGAAAATCGCTTGACAGCCAGTTAGGCGCGTTCGGCGCATCAGAATTGAAGTAGCTACGTTTGGCGCGGCGCAGCATGTGGGAGTTGAGAGCGAATATTGTTGAATTTATTGGTCATCAGCTGGATGATAGTGAAAGCTTAAAAACATTAAAAGGATTTTGAGGCTTTTGGAGTTACGCGCCAGACATTCTGAAAATAAGTTGTGGCACTGTGTAGCGAAAAGGTCACGTCAGCATATTATTTTGCTCGGAATAATTCAAAACTGGTCTCTTTTTAAGTATTGGCATTGTGGTATTTAAATCGTGGTATTGGTATTGTGGTATGGTCTGTATGGTTATGGAATTGCAGTATGGATATTGTGATTCTTATATTATGGTATGAATTCTATGGTACGGACACTGTGGTAATAATATTGTGGTATAGGTATTGGGGTATTGGTAGTTTCCAAAAGGTTACATGATATTGGCATTTTGGTATTTGAATTGTGGTTTTTAATTTGTATTATTGATATTGTCACTTTATATTGGTATTGATATTATTGTATTGAAATTGTCGTAGTAATATTGTGGTATTTGAATGGGGCTTTTAACATTGTGGTATTTATAATGTGAAATTTAGTTATAATGAATCTTTGAAACTGATATTATCATAGTAATATTACGGTATTAAAACTATAGCATTGGTATTGAGGAATTGGAAATGTGTTAATGGTATTATAGTATTGATAATACGGTTATTTACAGGTGCATTTATATTCCGATATTAGTATTGACGTATTTGTCTAGTGGTGTTATTATTTATGGATTTGTTTTCTTAGAATAAGTTTGGTGGCAATTGCGTCTTGGTATTATTATTGTAGTAACATTATTATACTTTGCATATTGTGATGTTCTGGTATTGGTATAGTAGTTTTAGGATTGTGTTTTTGAGGTATCCTATATCATATCTTGTAGCATTTCGGTTTTTTGGCATTACTTTACATAGTATTGTAATCTTGATATTGTGTATTGTCTATTTATGCTTTGGTATTGGTATCCTGATATTCGAAATGTGGAAAGCATAATGTGCTATAAACATTCTAGTATTCATATTGTGGTATTGATATTATAGTACTAGTATTTTACTTCTTTATTGGCTTTTGGAATTAGCGTCAGTACTATATTGTTATATAATTTTTTTTTGATATTGGTGTTCGATTTGTATTATTTTTATTGCTATGAGCCGCTGTGCCGTAGTCTCACTACTTACATATTAACTCATGAAAGTGTATTTAAATACGTTTTTCTCAAATGCGGTCACATGATACCCTTTTATTTTAGCCATGTCCGCTTTTTTGCCCTTAGAAATTTGTACAATTTTCCACTACAAATACTTGCAAAGTCAAATATTTTTGGCTATACTTTCTACTCATTGCAACTTAACCCCTCCTTCCCCCATCCCTACGTGCCCTCATTCGTTTGAGATTTTTTTTACGGTACTTACCCAACAAAGCGCTGATCAAGATAATGATGCTGGCAAAGACCACCGCACTCAAGTGGACCAACGTAAATTGTGAGCGACTGAATTTTGGCTTCTGCAAAATGTTACGATTTTTCGCCGACAATCTGCTGGTTGCGGCGGCCAGCAAGGTTGTTGTTGTCTCATTGCGTGCTGCTGGCGGTGGTGAACAAATAGGAAGAGAAAAAAGAAAAATAAAATATAGAGAAAAAATACGATTTGTGAAAAAAGCAACGGAAAAATAAAATGTAAAATATATATATACACATATATATATATAAAAGTATATATGTATAATATATGTATATGTACAAAATAGCACAAAAGTTTGCGAAAAGTCACACAAATATAGTAAAGTTGGGGGAAATATGCAAAAGCCAACATCATTAGCATGAAAGCGAAAGGCCATTTGTGTAGAGTGGAAGGAAAATAAAACAAAAAATGAGCAAAAATGAAAAGATAGATAAAAAGAATGACATAAAAAAATAGATACAAATTTGTCGCATTCACATTGCAAAATAAACTTATTTTATTAAACCAAAACACACTGAGCAAATAAAAAAAAAAACACACACACACAAATAAAATTATGTTTGGCGAGAGAGTGAATGATAAAAGGAAACGTAAAACAAATACCGTTGTCAGTGATGCTCGTAATGCTGTTGGCGGGCGACTCATGAATGTGCCAGAGAAAGCAGAATTTTATTAAACTGCGAAATGTGTTAAGGTTTTTTTTATTAAATACTTAAAAAAAGTTGTTGAAATGGAGATGATTTGATACTGTTTTATATAAAAGAAAAAAATTTGGGAATTGAGAAATTATTATTTTTTAAGTAATAAAATTGGAATATTTTTATTTTTTTATATTTTATTTTTTGGAATTTGTGATATTAATTAAAAAAGTTTACGATATCATTGAAAGCTCTAAATATAACTCAGCTTCAAACTGGCTGAATTAACTGTCGAGGAAGTAAAGGACTTTACAATGCACGATCGGCTTTTGGCTCGGAATTTCTACTTGAATGATGTATATTTTTTCTTGTATATGTATACACTTGGCACTTACCTAGGCCTTATCCGAGATAGTCACGTAGGCACTGCGATAAATGTGTTGGAATGGAGTGCACCTAGTACACTTGATGAAATATTCTGGTATGTTAAAAGAGGCATCCAGCAGAGTAGAGTTATTTCTCCACTCCTTTGCTGTCTCACCGTTAACACGATGCTTCGAAAGCAAAGAAGAGCGCGCTGAGAGGAGTTTGTAGTGTACACTGACGACATAGCCCTCAGCACTATATTTTATGTGATCCAAGTGCCCTTTATATAGTAAGCAATTGGTGCAGAAATTGTGGTCTGGACTTCAAACACCGAAGTTATATACTTGTCAGAAAATATAAAGCTGCTTTAAAGCTGCTCTTACAAAAAGGCATCGAAATGACTGTTCCTACTGAGGTAAAACACCTAGGTATTACCGTTGTTAGTAGGCTCACATGGAAACAGAATACGGTTGAAAGGCATAAGGGGTCTATGACTGCGCTCTACGTCTGTAAACCGTCAATGGGTATAAGATGGGTACTAAGACCGCATATATGCAGCTTACTCACTATACAAGGCGGTTATAAGATCTGTTTATTTTATGGAGTTAGAGTCTGATGGCTGGCGCCAGGCAAAGCTACGTAAAACTACTCATCACAGGGGCGCTGCCTTCAACCTCTTTCAAAAACACTTGAAACTCTACTCAACATCTTTCCGACAAATTTTTATGGGGGAATTACAGTCCATCCTTGGAGAATCCACACAGGATACCACTCTCGATAAAGGTGAACTAAACTAATTATTTTCTTCTTAGAGAGGATTGAAGTATTACTGGTACAAAGATTCGTATCCATCTGTACAGACGGATCAAAACTGCATTTCAGTGACGGTTTGCAGAGTTCACACGAAACCATTTACAACTGACGTTACAAGAGACATTCCGACCACTGCAGTGCGTTTTAAGCATAAATAACTGCAATAATAGACGCCGCTGCTCTTTTTACTCAACTCTAATATATTGTAGTATCTCAATCAATCTCAACCTATATTCTGAAAGCAAAGCTGCCATTTAATCTCTTCACTGTAATCACAACACTGAAGAAAAAGCTGTGAGAAATAGGAAAGTCTTAAACAAAGTCTCGACTGTATGCAAAACAATTGTGGCTTAAGTCCGCGGACATAGAGACATCCTGGAAAACTGCAAGGGCAACGAGCTCGCAAGAAGTTGTACAATCCTAACCACGGTAAACGCTGCACATGATGCGGGTATATCTCTTTCCTCCGCAAGTTATCAGCTAAGAACGGCTTTCACAAACTGCCAAACTGCTTGCCTTAAGAAGTTACATGGATTTCATTCGGGTGAAAAGGTTTATTTCCAAAAAAAAAAATATATATATATATATATATATATATAAAATAAATTTCTGGCCAGATTTAAAAAAAAAAAAACTTTCGTAAAATTTACTCTATACAATTTCTTTAAATAGATTTGTGTATGTATATAATTGGCGCTTTTGCAATCGCTGAAGCGGTTTTTCGGCCGAGCTCCTCCTCCGGTTTTGCGTCTTGATGTTTTCCTAACAAATGATGGGACCTACAGTTCATACTAAGCCGCCTCCGAATGGCTGATGGTTTTTTTACGAAAAGCCTTTATTTCATGTCCGAAATACACTCGGAGAGGTGGACGTTCCCGTAATTAGAAAATTTAACTTAATTTTTATTTAAATAAATTTTTTATAACTTTTTGATGTTGGTGGCACCGGGGTTCGATTAACTCGGCTACCACGCCCGCCAGTTTTAATTGCATCAAAAACAAACGTTCGCGCAATTTTCTCTATGGTAAATGTAATCTACAACACCAGTACACAGACAGTCTGAAAGCTTGCCTGAGGTCCAGTTCAAGTTAGAATAACTCGGAGACAAAAATGACTTTGTTCTTAATTCAATTTTTAATTATTAAAAATATTGAATATCTACATGTTCCTTTGTATCACCAATAGCATTTTCTTTTTGCTACAATTTTATTAAATTTTTCCAATTTCAGTTCCGATATTTCTTTTTCAATAACAAACTAATAACTCAAAAGTTAAGCACACGAAAATATTTGCTACTAAAATTTCAATAATTGGAATAAGCTCGGTCGTATCTAACGAAAAATGAAAAATAAATTGAAAAATAATCTACAACAATCATCAAAAATCTGGTGGCGTCAAGCTGAGCCATAAGCTTGCCGTCAACGTAAAGGAGAGAAAATTTAGGAATATAAAAAAAAATAAATTAATAAAGTTGCCAGAATATACATACATGTTATGTAATATAAAAAATAAAAATAAAATAAAAAATAAGTACGTAGGTACATATGTACATATGTATGTGTGTTTTTAAGTTTGCACCACGTTAATTTAATACGTTTTACGTGCAAACACCAAAGTGAAACAAAATCAAATAAAATAAGCTGGCATATGAAAAAAGTACAAACAAAAAAATCAAATATTAATTCAAAAACACTCACACACACACGCACACGAACACACTTCTACACATATACACATATACACATCTCGAGCTACTCACCAATTTGTTCGACATTCGCCAAAAAGCCACCAGTACAAGCGGCATTCACGCTGCCCATAGTTGTGACGTTGTTATTATTGTTATTGTTGTTGTTGTTCTTGTTGTTATTGTTGTTACTGTAACCATGTCCGTTAGCTGGCACATCGCTTGCCTCGCCGGCATAGAATTCCAACAACAATTGCGCACCACTCGATTCTATTTGTGTTGGCATATTTAAATTACTTCCGCCGTTCAATTCAATGAGCAACGTCGATGAGAGCGACGGACCGTCACGTACTTTGATGTACTGCGCCGGACAGGGCAATCGCAAAAAGTTCAAACTCAGCGCAATATTCTCCTCGCCATCCACCTGTAACAGAGTTGTTGATTGAATGAAAGAGAGAAAGAGAGAGAAAGAGATAGAGAGTTAGAGTTTGAGTGAGAGGAGCATACATTGAAATGGTAAAACTTTGGAGCTCAAACAGTGAAAAAAAAAGAATTTATAATAAAAATTTTGTAATAAAAATAATATAACCACACATCAACACACAAACTCACTGGGAGTCACGGCGTTGCACGTACTAAAGTAGGTAAGCGCAAACAAAAATATTATTTAGTGAACTTATAAATTGTGGACGGCGTATGGGTAGTGTGGTAGCCGCTACGGTTGTTACATAGTGGAGTAGAAAACGGTGTCGCAGTCGAAGCCGGAACTGAATTCGGTGCTGAAAGCGAAGTTCAAGACGGAACCGCAGTCGGCGCCCAAGGCTCTCACTGACTCAAAATGTAAAAAGATGTCACAAACTGGAAGAAATTATTTCTTTTTTTTTTCAGGATCATTTCAGAGTTAAAAGTCTAGAAGGTGAATTTGAAGTGGTCGCTGGGAATGAATTCATTGAAGTAAGCAAACAGGCCTATTCTGTTACAAACAAAGATCCCAGTAGCCCGCATTAGATCTACTTAATTTTTGGTTTAAGTCTCTTTTTAAGGCTGCCACCTTTGAAGACTTCAACTGACTCCTTTCATGCACGAGGGACTCTGAAAGGTTGTGGAGAGGTCATTTGTTGGTACGCTCAGTATCTCTGTGCTACACTACAGTGATGCCAAGTTCCCTTAAGTAGATCCCACTACCGACACTGTTGTGTAGATTTGATTCAACCATATAAAGTGAATCGCGTCAGCATAACCACTTTATAGCTGAAACCTTTAGATAGAAAAATCTTCGAACTTCTCGAACTCTAAGTCATTTTCAACTCTCTTAGTCGGCGTGGACTCAGAACTAGATTAGCTGTCAACCCAGCAATGAAACTCTTTGTCTCAATGAAATTTCTAGTTATGCTTCTGATATGGGTTAACAGGAACAGATTGTGGAGCTTTACCTTTATGAAATCCGCATTGATAACGCATCAGTACTCCAGTGAAAAATCCTTACAGTATATGCTAGCCGCGGTGGCCGAGTGGTTAGCATTGCGTACTGCCATTCGGACGGCTCGGGTTCAAATCCTGGTGTCGTTATAACAACCAAAAAGTTATAGAAAATTAATTGAAATTAAAAATTTAGCTAAATTTTCTAATTGCGGTCGCCCCTGGGCAGGGAATGTCAACCCCAACGAGTGTAATTCTGACAGGAAATCAGCAGTTCGGAGGCGGCGTAGGCGGCTTGCAGAAGAACCCCGGCTGAAAATCGCTTCAGCAGGCAAATTATATGTATTATATAGGTAAGCCGAGACGTTAGAACTGAATTTTCAAATTAGGTTTCGTTTCTTTTAAAGCCAGTCGAGGTCAGGGATGTAAGTTAGATGTTTTTAGAAAAAAGTCGAGTTCGTCTCTCTACGTGAATGAGAAAAATGGCACTTCAGTGTATTAATAGACTTAGCTTACAGCGCGGGTTTCTACTGAAATCTTGACAAAATAGCCTGAATTGAAGTCGTAAAAGTGATCTAATGAAGCTTTGATGTCTTCAAAATCGACAAGATTCTCGTCTTTCTTCGGCGAAGAGCCAACGGTTTACAGAGATCTGGGAAATATGCGCCGCTACCATTGGTTTTTTACACCTTTCCAAGAGGCCTTCATTCTTTAACAGCCACACACTTTTACCAAGCTCCTGTCAGTGCGAGAAATATAATAACAATGCTCCTCGACTAATATCCTCGATCCGATACACTCCTAGTGCGCCCCACCTGCGATGCTATGCTATGCCCTGTACCATGTGCTCTGTACCATGTAATAAGTACATAGCTTTGGTGGCTTACGCTGTGCCTAGGTAAAACTGTGTGGTCTCTATGGTCGCTTTGAATTTGCTTTTGCATTTTGGATTGTTTTTGTTGTTTCGTTTTGTTTTTATAAAAAGTTATCGGATGTGCTTTTCTATGCTGTTGTGTGTGTGTGTGTGTGTGTGTGTAGGTGTGTTCTCATGTGTATGTGCCTTTTAAGTACATGCATACATATGTGAGTATATTCTCGTTGAATACAATATGTATGTGTGTGCGTGTGTATGTGTGGTGTTTTTGTTTTCCGGTTATTCCAAGTATCAAGTTGAAGTTGTTTTACCGTTGTTCACTTCATTAAAAATGCATGTTTGGTTGGGCTATTTGTATGCAAAACTCTGTTATTAACTCACAATAACAACAACAACAACACAAAACAATAACAGCAAATGCAATAATTCAACTAACAACTGTTACAGTAAATGGGGCAGTTGGTTTAGTATTTGAGGGGGGGAACTGTAAATATTTGAATGGATTTTGGTTGAAAATAATAATTTTTCTCAAAACATATTATTTTTTATTATAAAAAATGATGTTCATGATTTATTTAATCTTTATGATAAGTTTTCTACATAAGAAAACCGATGCAATATTAAGACCGACCATAGGACCTTAGGTTCGGGTCCACTGCTACTAAATTATTTTTACTGTAAGCGATTCTTAGCCGTTCTGCCAACTCAGTAGCAGAAGAGTGAAGAAAAAGATGGACTATTCAATATTGCCTACAGGGAAAGTAGAAGTTTTGTTGCTTTTTACGTTTTAAACAATCCTTACTTCCAGTGTTGCGTGAGCACGAACTTTTTCACATGAGCGGCCTCGTTTCTAAGTCTTTCCTAGCACTACTACAGCCTATCTTACTAAAACCGTTGGGCTTTACAGTGAGTGGTTTCAACGAATATTCACGGTGCCAAGGTTATGATTTGTATTTGGTGGGATCAGCTCGGTGTGATTTACTACGAGCTCTTAAAACCGGGTGATGCGCCTTAGTCGCGCGCTAAAAGAAAAGCGGCCACGATATCAAGAGCGACATGACAAAGTCATCCTCCAACACGACAATGCTCGGCCTCACGTCGCAAAAGTGGTAAAAAAGTACCTAGAAACGTTGAAATGGGAAGTCTTGCCCCACCCGCCGTATTCCCCAGATGTCGCACCTTCTGACTTCCACCTATTCCGTTCGATGGCACACGGCCTGGCGGATCAACATTTTCAATCCTTCGAAGAATTGGAAAAATGGATTGCTTCATGGATAGCGTCAAACGGCGGAAGCAAAGTTATACACCTAATATTCTAGGGATTTTTTTGTTTTTTTTTTCATTTCTTTGACAGTAAAAAGCAGCAGTGAACTTCCAAGGTATTGAAGTTTTGCAAAAGTAGGGAAATGGGTTAATATGGAGACAGGAAGATATAGAGAACTTCGATAGAGAGCTTAAGATGTAGTTAACTTAAAGGAAATATAAAACGAGTCTTAATAGGTTAGGGCCCTTGATACAGCGTAGAGACTTTCCTCTTGCTGTGATGCTATAGAGAGTGTTGCTTCAAAAATATCAACGCCTCTCAGCACAATTTGACCTAATCGAAAGCGTTTCTACATTGTTTTTGCACTCCTTCAAAGGCTTGGTAGGTTCCTCAAAGGCTTGGTAGATCTAGTAGGGTACGTGGCTTTATTATCTATATAATTCATCCTTAGTAATATGGAAAGTTTGATAAAATAAACGAAATTTTTTTTTTTTTTTTGAAGTCTTTATTCCTTGGAGGTGTCTAGTACTAGCGATGGAATATTATACTCTAATATGCCATTCACGTGCGTGTGGGCTCATAAAGTGAGCAATTCTTGTGCAAATTGTAGCAACCAATCTATGTACATATAGAAGCCCTGATAGAATTGAACCTACTTCTCTGTAGTCTCTGTAGTCGGCGACGAGTAAAGGAATATCTTGAAGAAATCGGTTTCCTAAGTTATAGTAGTAGGAGTAGGCTCCTTGTGATTCCATGGTTTTATGTACATCCGCTTCCATTCATTTATAAATTCTGCTACATAAATTGTCTTCATGTCTACTATCTGCTAGAAATTATTGATGAAAGCAGGTATTAGATATCGGAAGCTAGCTTTGCCAAAGGCAGACAACCTACAAATGTGAACATATCTTGCTCTTCATCATTCTTATTATTCGTTTAAGAAAGACCGAAACTGGAAACTGTTCTGGAAGGCAAGCATAGAAGAGAGAAAGACGAAAGTATCGGTTTTACTGCTAAACCACCATCTCCGATCAATGGTCTACTTAAATGCAGTAAGCATATTCTTCTTTATGGAGCTTTCTTAAAAATTACTTTAGCTGAAAAAAATCCTTCAACGCTACGTACGAAGTATACTAACGCAGCAGCCTCACACCATCTACATTGTGGCATGCCCTATACTGGGCTACTACTGGTAGGTATGTATAAGACTCAGGGAGTATGGATCTTCGACCAGCTCGAGCGAACTACAGTGCTGATGAACTTATATGTAAAGGCACTCCTCTGCCTCTTTAAAGCCGTACAAAATACAGATGAGCGCGCCGCTGACAACGTGCCGTCTGTTTCTATATCGGTGTGCTTTCCGTAATCAGTCTCGAGTTCAGCGCAGACCGGAATGTCACAGATTTTCCGCCAACTGTCTGTTAGTTATTCGATTATTCTTGAGTAGAGCGGGTAATGTAGGGAATTCAACATGTGTCACTTTTGGCTAGTTGAGGAAGTTCTTTTCCATGCCAAGCTCAAAACTGTCCCACATGGTGGGGTGTTCGGGTCGGACGTTTAGATTACTTTTACTCCTTGCGGCAAACAACCGACGTGTCTTATGTATCTATGTATGAACGATCAGTCACTTCCACCTAATCCAGATTAACTTTCTATCTAACCTAACTGAACCAAAAGTGTCCACCTATCGTCCGCCCAACCGAAAGAGGGATGCATACGAAGAATAAATTTGCCAGTAAATATCAATCATTTTTCATTGAATCTCAATTGAGGTGTCCAAAATATAATAACATTGCGGTTGCAATACAAAAATATACACGTATATACAGATTATACTCAAAACCATAAATATATGTATTTCTATGTC